AGCTGCGACTACTTCCCCTACAATTACCAATGGCGGAGCCAATCTCACCACCATATTTAAGATCCCCCCCAACGCTACTATTTCAACTGTAGGTGGGCCCGCCGCTAATAGCACTACCTTTACTGGGGGCCTGGGCGGAACAAAATTAATCGGTACTGCCCCCGACACTAGTAGAGCTAGTGCAACTACTAGGAGGGGTACGGCAGATAATGGTACTACAATTGTTTCGGGTCCTACCGGAATAAATAGCACCGCAATCCCCGGCGCTGAAACTGGAGGGACTGAGGGTAGTGGTGGTGGCGGCGCTGGGGCTAGGGGTGGCGTTGTTGGTACTGGAAGCACCAAAATTGGAGGCGCTGGCACTGGCCTCGTCAACGGTACCGGGACTCGAGATAGTCCTACTGGCACCGGGGGTACTGAAATTGGGGACAGTAAAGTCGGTGGTGCCGGGACTGGAGGTAGTCTTACTGATGCTGGAGGCATTGGAAACTGTGGTGCCGAGGCCAGATGTGGTGTTATTGGAACTGGAGGCGTTTGCACCGGAAGCACTGCTACTTGTGACCCCGGCGGTACTGGAGCTAGGGGTAGTGCTACCCGTGCTGGAGGCATCAAGATTGGAGATACTGGCTCTGGAGGTACTGGGACCAGAGGTAGTGTTGCTGGTGCTGGAGGCTCGGGCGCTGAGGAGAGTAGCGTTGGAACAGGCGGCGCTAGAGCTAGAGGAACTAGCACGGGAGGTGCAAGAGCTGAAGGTGCTGGAACGGGAGGTGTTAGGACAGCAAGCGCGAGAGCTGGGGGTGCTAGAGCTGGATGTCCATGTGGTAGATGTGAGTCTGCTAGAAGTCGAGATCCTAGAAATGGAGATTCTAGAAGTGGGGATGCTAGAGCTGTAGGTGCTAAAGCTGGGTGTCCATGCGGCAGATGTGAGGCCGCTAGAAGCGGAGATCCTCGAAGTGGAGATCTTAGAAGTGGGGGTACTAAAGCTGGAGGTGCTAAAGCTGGATGTCCATGCGGCAGGTGCGAGTCCGCTAGAAGTGGAGATCCTAGAAATGGAGATTCTAGAAGTGGGGATGCTAGAGCTAGAGGCGCTAAAGCTGGATGTCCGTGTGGTAGATGTGAGTCCGTTAGAAGTGGAGATCCTAAAAATGGAGATTCTAGGAGTGGGGGTGCTAGAGCTGGAGGTGCTAAAGCTGGAGGTGCTTAAG